CACCATTGTCTACATTTGCTTCACTACATGAGTTGGGGGTCCAAATTGAAAGTGCTTTCAAAAAGGGGATCATCCACAAAACTAGTGAACCTGTAAGAAGACCATTCACCAGGAGTACCAATGCTGGTAATAGCACTATTCCACGACCTGCAGATATCAGTACCATTGTTACATCGCCCAAGATGATCGATCCCTTCGCTGCTGCCACAACCTCACAACCTTCACAAAATACTAGTCCACCCCGTAATCGAAGAATGTTTAGCCCCTCCATATGACCTTGACCCACGCCCTTAAGTTGTTAATGAAAAACAGACATCTTAAACCTCTCGATCCTCGTGCACTTCTAGACCCATTGCCACCCAAACATGACACCCCACCCAGTATTGTATCTTCCACCAACATTATGGCCATCTCACGAACATGTGCTACCGTTTACGTCATGAGATCTAGGATCCCATTGACAACAAAATCATCGCCCCACCTTCCAAACCAAACATATAACTAACCCACTTCCTGTACATAATCAAGTCCCTCCACCCAGAAATATTAACCATATCCGTACACTACCACCCACCTTCAACCCTAACACATACATTCCCTCATCCCACTTACCTAAATCGGAGGTGGTTATTCCAGAAAGCACAGACATGTGCATGATGAATTTGACACCACAAACCTAATCCAAGCCTACAACAGTAGACAAGCCTGTGGCAGTAGAAATGAAGAGAGAGGAGAATTCACTAAAGGCAGGGGCTTCACTTGCTGAGGAATATGACCCCAGCTTATACATTGTGGCCATTGACCAACCAAAGCCAGTAGTTATACTATTGGATGTCCTCAACATCAATGCTATAGGGGAGAATGAGCTAGGGCAACGTCAAAATGATTGGCCAAGATAGGGTTTGAATGACTTAGCAAACCTAGAAGAGGATTTGACAGAATTGAAAGAGGATCTAGAAGATCTTTACTCCTTGAAAGAAGAATATACAAATTGTGTGCAGATAGGATGGTGGGATCCAAGACAGTCAGAAATGAACAATGGGTGGTTTAGCGATGAGAAGGCAGACAAGGTAGAACAAACAAGAGAGACTAGGAAATAAAAGGCTGAGGCAAGACCCTTGATTATAAGAGAACAAGTGTTGAAGCAATTCCAATAGGAAAGGATAGAAGAGATCCAAGGGCAAATGGCCTCGAAACAAGAAAATGGAAAAAGGAAAGAAGAAACCGAGTCAACCATAATCACCAAAAAAACTGAATGGAAGCCTAAACAATACTGGACACAGAAACCAAAACCATCATGGAAAAGGAATGGTGTGTTGAGAAGTGTGATGTGAACATGCTGCAAGTGAAGCCTGACAATAGCTTGGCCATGACTGTAGGGGAGTGGTGGGAAGATAATGATTTGAGTTACACATACATAGACGAAGGGTGGGACTCTACCCCTGATGATATGTGATATACAGACGAGATTAATCACATGACCCGAAGTGGCTGGTACTTCAAACCCACAACTTTAGACCAGTCAGAATCCTCCAACAAAGGGGTTAAGACATCAAAAGAGAAGGATGGTGATGAAAACATCGTCTTGAAATAGCTCAAGAAGATTCAGGTTGACATATCAATCTAGGGGCTGATAATGGCATCTCGGGAGCATATGCAAGCACTATTACAGGCTATGAACCGAACTAAACTGCCTATCGATACCATTGCAGACCAATTGGTATCATTGGTTATATCTGGGGATGTTACGCCAATGATATCTTTTACGGATAAAGAGTTACCACTTGAGGGCGCTAACCATAACCATCCTTTATACGTAACCTTGGAAAGTTGAAAGAAATGGATCCCGGTGGTGTTAGTAGATACCAGATCGACAGTCAGTGTGTGTCTAGTGAGAACTGCCTATGCCATCGGTTTGAGGTCGATTGACTTTACACCCACAACCCAAGCCATCCGAGCTTATGACAATACAAGCCGGGATGTTATGGGAACATTCAAGAGCAATATCCTCATCGGCCCATCTGAACATGAGGCGGAATTCCATGTCATGGATGTACCGGCAACCTTAAATCTATTGCTAGGAAGTCCTTGGCTGCATCAGATAAAGGCCGTATCATCAACAGTCATTAGTTAGTGAAATAGCCCTTCAAAGGCAGGATTGCTACTGTGTACAATAATTCTGCAATCCATCCTCCCTAGGGAACTGCCATGCCAGTGTTGGAAATCATACATGGGGAAGAAGATGTATTGCTCTCTGGCTTCTCGCTGATAGAGTCTCGGGTGGTCCAATCCGTCATGATAGAAGACGATGGAACTTATGTGAGTGCTCAGTCCATCTACATGATGAACAAATAGGGGCATATGCTTGGATCAGGACTAGGCCGAAGTGGCAGACAAGGCAGCACTGTTGCTAAGGAAGTGAGCCATAACCCCCACTCTCTCAAACTGGGATACAAACCTACAGCCGCAGATTGGCAAAAAAAGAGCAGGAGTTGAGAGAAAGGCTAAAAGTAAAGAGGAATGGGAAGCATTATGAATTAGTCCACAAACCAATACGGGGAACCCTGAATGGGCGCTTTGTCCGCCAAGGGGATGATTTCCCCTTCTGTGGATTTCTAGAGCCTTGGTTTGTCCAGGAGACAAAGACAAGATATCCAGGATTCGAGATCTTCTTCGGGCACCAATTACCAGAAGAGGAGGATGAGAAGACAGACCTAAACATTAATACATATCAAGGGAGGACTGCATGCTTGGATATTGAAGAGGAAGAACTATTAGGAAAGCCACTAGCTGACCTACTGATAGGTTTTATTATTGAAACTGAGGCCACCAACTTGGGGGATAGTTTTACTATCTCAATGATCGGGGATAACCCATCAATGGATTTCTCTAATCTTATCGTGGATGCGTCTGAGGCTCCACGCTTGGTTTGGAAGTTGGAGAAATGCACCATCAACAGTTCTGAATCAGATAATGAGTCTGAATCTGATTCCATTGAGTCCATGGAGTCTGAGTCAGATTCGAGTTCCTCTGAGTCTTGTACTTCTGGGGGTGGTAACCCGGATACCAAAGTCTTGTCCAGGTCATCTTTTAGCCTTTCTTTTGAGTCCACTGTAATCGAAGACCTAGACTTTTTGAATGGGAATGATGTGAGTGTTGCTTACTTCTCTATGCCTTTTGTTTGTTGTACTGATCTTAATTTTTAAAATTTTGACATAAATGAAGAGGAAGAAATTCCTCGGGTTTGGACAAATTTAGTTGGTCATGAGGAGGAGAGACGTGTTAAGCCCTATACAAATGAAATCACATCAATTAATGTAGGTACTGAAGAAGATCCTCACTTGGTCCAGATCGAGTCCACGCTGTCTTCGGAGGAACGTAAGCGTTTAATTGCTTTACTAAAAAATTTTTAAGATGTTTTCGTGTGGTCCTACGAAGACATTCCTAGAATTGATCCTGAGATTGTACAGCACTGGATCCCTCTTTACCCTGAGGCACAGCCAGTTAAGCAAAAGCTTCGCAGAGTTCGCCCAGATTGGGCTTTAAAGATCAAAGAAGAAGTTACCAAACAGATTGAGGCAGGGCTCTTACTTGTATTTGATTATCCAACGTGGTTGGCCAATATTGTTCTAGTTCCAAAGAAAGATAGCAGAATCAGAGTTTGTGTCGATTTTAGGGATCTGAATAAAGCCAGTTCGAAGTATGATTTTCTGCTACCGCATATTGATGAGTTGGTAGACTTCATCGCGGGCCATCTGTTACTCTCATTCATGGACACAATTTTCGGGTATAACCAAATTCTGATGGCACCTGAAGATAGGGAGAAGACAGCTTTCACTACTCTATGGGGCACATATTGCTTCTGAGTCATGCCGTTTGGGCTGAAGAATGCCGGGACAACTTATCAAATGGCTGCAACTACTATTCTGCATGACATGATCCAGAAAGAGCTTGAGATATATGTGGATGGAATGATTGTCAAGTCTAAAGAATTAGAAGGCCACTACACCGCACTGGAGAAATTCTTTGAACGGATCAGAGAGAATAGATTGAGGTTGAACCCACAAAAATGCACCTTTAGCGTAACAATAGGGAAAATGTCGGGATTCTTGATCACGCAAAGCGGAATTGAGGTGGATCCTTTCTTAGAAATGCCACCATCGAGGACTCAAAAGGAGGTGCATGGCTTTTTGGGCAAGGTGCAATTCATAAGATAATTTATCTCAAAATTAACCTCAGCTTGTGAACCACTGTTTGGTCTGTTGAACAAAGGAAAGAAGTTCCAATGGGATGATCAATGTCAGTTTACCTTCGAACAGGTTAAGCAGTACCTTCAAAATCCACCTGTATTGTCACCACTAGAACTGGGAAAACCTCTGATCTTGTATTTATCGATAACAGACTCGACCATGGGGTGCATGCTAGTGCAAGAATTAGATGCTAAAGCAGAGAATGCGATTTACTATCTAAGCAAGAAGATGCTGGAATATAAGACCCGCTACACTCCCCTCGAGAAAGCTTGTTTAGCTTTGGTTTGGGCAACAAGGAAGTTGAGACACTACCTGTTAGCTCATTCTATAATTCTTGTTTCGACATTAGATCCCATCAAATATCTCTTTGAGAAAGCAGTGCTTACGGGTAAGCTAGCTCGTTGGTAGCTTTTTCTCTCTGAGTTTGACCTTAAGTATGTCACTCGTAAATCAGTCATAAGGAGAGCTGTAGTGAAATTTCTCACAGACCACCTAGTAGAAGGGGATGGAGCAGTAGAGTATCATTTCCCCGATGAAGACATCCTGCAAATAAAAGAGCAAACATGGACAATGTACTTTGATGGAGCATCAAACCAATATGGTTATGGGATAGATGTATTGCTCATAGCAGCTGATGATTCCCATATACCTCGAGCCGTCAAACTCTGGTTCAAAGTATCCAACAATGAAGCAGAATACGAGGCGTGTATTGCTAGCTTGGAAGCTGTCCTAGAACTAGGGGCAATAAGGATGGATGTCATCGAAGATCTGAATTTGGTTGTTTCACTAGCCAATGGAGACTGGAAGGCTAAAGAAGAGAAAATGAAGGTTTATCATCAGGCACTGGATGTGCTAATTCTGAGGTTCGAAAAATTGACGTTCACACATCTACTAAGAGAGAACAACCGGTTTGCTGATATGCTAGCAACTCTATCCTCCGTGGTGGACATCCCGTTCGGAGTGAAGATGCACCCGATCATTATTGAACAAAGGTATACGCCAGCTTATGAGACCATCGCCGCAATAAATGAGGCTCAAGATACGAGCCCCTGGTATTAGGACATTAGGAACTTTTTGGAAAAAGGAAATGTGTCACCTAGGGGAAAATGCCAAGGAAAAACGACGAATACGGCATGTGGCCAACCAATTCATCATCTGTGGAGGCAAGTTGTACAAGAGAAGCCATCTGGGAATGCACAAGTTGTGTGTTGAAAAAGAGGAATCAAAACACTTGATGGAGGCTATCCATGGAGGAGAGTATGGAGCGCACATGAATGGAGTGATGTTAGCTAGAAAGATTCTCAGGCAAGGTTATTACTGGTCTACTATGGAGAAGGATTGTATTGGTTTTGTACGACGATGCCACAAATGTCAGATCCATGCCAATCGCATGAACATTCTGCCGTTAAAGCTCTACAATATGACTTCGCCATGGCCTTTCTTAGTTTGGAGAATTAACGTCATCGGTGTAGTCACACCAAAAGGGTTGAACGGACACGAATACATTCTAGTAGCGATCGACTACTTCACAAAATGGGTAGAGGCCCAGTCCTATTCCATGCAAAAGGCATCACACATGGCTAAGTTTATCGAGAACAACATCATCCGTGGATATGGGATGCCCAATGAGATAATAACAGACAATGGCTCACACTTCAAGAAAGAGGTTATAAAACTACTTGAGAAATACAACGTGGCTTTCCATAAGTCATCAACATACAGGTCGCAGACCAATGGAGCCGTTGTGGCTACAAACAAGAACATCAAGAAAATATTGCAGAAGATGGTAGAAACCTATAGGGACGGGCCAGAGAAACTCCCGTTTGCACTTTAGGGCTATAGAACGTCGATTCGGACATCTACAGGGGCAACTCTTTATTCTCTTGTCTATGGCATGGAAGTTGTTCTGCCAATTAAATTTGAAGTACCAACATTGCGGGTTATGGTCGACTGTCAGAAGCAGAGGCCGACTGGCAACAAAATAGATTTGAGGAATTGATGCTAGTTGATGAGAGGAGGTTAAAGGCATTGTATCATATTCAGGGTTACCAATGCAGAATTGCTAAGGCTTTTAACAAGGAGGTTAAGTCTAGGAACCTCAAGGAAGGAGATCTAGTGCTCAAAGACAACCAAGCTCCCATCCATCACCCTAGGGGCAAGTTCAAACCCAATTGGACTGGTCCTTACGTCATCAAGTCTATCTGCTCAGGAGGAGCATCATTCTCATGGACCTGGATGGCCGAGAATTTTCATAACCGATCAATATGGACAAGTTAAAGAAATATTACCCCTGAGAGGCTCGCTAGGCCGAAAACCCGAAAGGGTGACCTAGGCAAAAATTAGAGCATGAAAAATTAGAAACAAAGAAAAATTTAGCTCGCAAGGTTGAAAACCCGAAATGGCAACTTCAGCAAAAGTCAGAGCGTAAAAGGAGTGAGTCAATACCTGAGTGAACCTTAACCAAAACTACCTATGACCTGATTTCCATCTTCGGGATACGTAGGCAACTTCATTCTGAAGTTCGACCGTAATTATCTCCAGCTCAACTGTCTTGTCTGATCAGGTCATTACTTGTTAGTTCGGTTATGATCTTCGTTATGGTATGACCTTTTCATTTGGAGCTGTGCATCTTAAGGGTTGATTATGTGCTTGTCAAACAGCGAATGGCTTTGAAAAGTTTTAATCAAAGTTGATTTTTCTCAAAAAGTCACCTTTTACAACTGAGACCATTTTTGGACCAAAAAGGAAAAGTTTTAATGCTCACAAACTTTAATTTTCATTGATTTCAGCATCAAGTACATTCTCCAACTCTTTGATAGAAATCAAAGTTGCTTTTACATAAAACTTCAAAAGAAAGATCAAAGTAATAAAACTAGGGACATAGATGAGTCAGGTGTCAATTCTCTTTCTTTTCCTTGCACCCATACCCGTGGAAGTTTCCGTGGAAGTCTCTGTAGCCAAAGTCGACCCAATCCGTTCTTCATCCTTGAGCCAAGCCAAACACTCACTAGAAAGGATGTAACTAAAATTGAGGGCAGGGACCAAAAGCTCTCTTGTTCTCCAGGCAGTGAGGTACCGAATTGAGTTTGAAGTAGGAACATGGAATGAAGTTGGGTATTTTACTCCCTTATCTGGACAAATCTGATTATGTCCAAACTGACGTCTGAACCGAAAGGGAAAGTAGAACACACAGTGCATCAGACCAATCAACTGTATGTTACGTTGACGTGTCAGGCTGTAACTCATTTCGGCCAAACCAAGCCAAGGGCAACGCCAAGCTATGTCAGCTGCGGATCGGTTACACATCCAATCATTCCACAACCCTTGTGAGGGGAAATCGACTAACCATTGGCGAAAGAAGCAAGCTCGAGCCTAGTATTCAGCGCAAGGGTCTACTACTTTAAGTTTTTCCATCAACCATACCTTGGGAGGGATGCAAAATCAGAGAGATTAAAGAATAGAGAGGTGTATGTTGAGAGAAAAATAAAGAAAAGGTTTTGAGAGAAAAACATAGCTCGAGTGTTGTGTAACATTAGATTCATAAATCGGAAGGGTGGAAAATCATACCTAGAGAAGTAGCGGGCTCCCTGCAAACCTGGTGGTCTCCTATCGATGAATAGCATCCAGGCCTATCAAAGTTTCGGCCAGCGCTAAACCAGTACAACTCTTACCCTCTTTCAAGCATTGGGCCACTTCAACTAACCAGATACTAGCTCGACCAAAACTAGGGGCACTTAGGAATTGTGCAAGTAGGCATAAACAGAGAGCATGTTGTTGGTGGCTGCGCCAAAGAAGGTCATTCTTATCTCCAATAGTGGAAAACCGATGAACTAAATCGGGGATATCTAGCTCCCCATCATGTGCCAAAGACTGAGCCTCGTGCATTGACAATCCACACATTTACCCCAAAGCTTTGGCATGGTCAAAACGAGGTTGAGGTGTGATTTCATCACCGCGTCGAGATTCCATCAGTGCTTGAAATTCTTTGAGTGTTGGACATACTTCTTGAGATCCAAATTGGAATACATGTGTGGCTGGGCTCCAACATCGAACTGTGGTATGGAGAAATGGAAAGCAAAAAGAAGTGCAACTCAAAAGAAAAAGGGTGTTTAGGCCGAAACCGGGAAAATTCACCTTTTCTGAACCATCCAAAGTGGCTATCCAGTCTCGAAGCCTATTGACAAATAACATTTCCATCTTGAGAGCAAAATATCAAGGATTCGTGAATCTGCCAGAAAAACAGCATGAGAGCACCATTTATAGAGTTTTGGGATGGAGTTGTGCATAACAGCGGGACAGCACTGATCGATAGCTGGCCGTGCATCAGTGATGGCCGACAGTGGATCAGTGAAGCCCGACTGGGCCTTGGTGTTGGTCAGTTGTAGCAGAAGCCGGCCCTCGTTCGGGTGGACCACGATTGTACTTTTGAGTCTTGCTTTGTTTATACCAACTGTGTTTTAGTATTTTCGAGTTGTTTTTCATTTCGTTTTCCTGTTATCGAGTTGTATTTTACATATTTGTTAGGGTGTGGGTTGTTATCCGATTCAAGAATGAATGCAAGAGTAGGTATTCATAGTTTCAAGTCCTATACAATGCTACCATTCATCACATGCTATTCATCACACATTATGTGAGGAGATCATCCAAAAAAAAACTTTTCCTTTCTAAACTGCTGGGTCTAACCCCAAACATTGTTTTACAAAGCAAACAAAAGAAAAGTCTTCTAATACAGCAAGTCTATTTGAAGCTAGTGTTTAAACTACAAAAAAAAAAAAAAAAAAGGAGAGGAATTGTGTTTTTGTTTTGTTCCGATAATTTGTAAGTTGTTCTATTATTTCGTATGTTGGTATTCTGTCCTGTACCCGTACTATCGAATTTTTGTCACAGGAAAATGTACAGTAATCATCATCGGCGATGCTTTTCCAATGAGCGACCAACCAGGTGATCGACTGGTATTGCTCTGTTTTGTGTCCAGTTCATCGAGCTTTTGTCAGTTCATTGAGTTTGATTTTATGTTGTGATCAGTGAGAGTCAATTTTTAGTTCGTAACTCATTCCTAAAATTGAAATATTCTTACCATACAGATTTGCACAAAAACAAACTCATTTTATTAATATCAGGGATTAACCCCGATCAAATTTGTACAAACATATATACAAAAAAAAAATGAAAAACAGAAAAAAAAAAAAAAAAAAAAACAAAAAAAAAAAAAAAAAAAAAAAAAAACAAAACAAAACAAAACAAAACAAAACAAAAAAAAATAAAAAACAAAAAACAAAACAAAACAAAGAAAAAATTTTTTTAAAAAAAGGAGAGGAATCTTTTTCTTCATTCTTCTCCGACAACGACCACATGCCGACCTCCGATAACGGCCGCGCATCAACCTCATTTGCTCGGCTCTTCTACCGGGCTCATCCTCTTTTTGTCATTGACTCTTGAAGGCCCTGCCTCAGTACATATAGGACCACCGAGAGGGTTGACTCCCTGTTGGCCATCAAAAGCACAGTACGGCGGAACCCCAAATCAAACCATGACGGTGGCCTTCCGTTCCAACTCTTTGTTCTCCACCTTCAGTGTGCTAATCTCTACTCGTGCATTCTTATACATACGCTGGAGCAAAGAGAGTTAGGCGTTTAACTGTTGTACCTTGCTTGTCCTATTCTGCAACCGATGAGAAAAGTTAGTGACCGCGGTCACTAACTCCATGCAAGACTTCAGCGTATAATTGTTGGCTTCAATATCAGATTGAGCCGCCATTATATGCTCGACTGATAGCATAGGAAAGTTAAGAGAAGTAAAAGTAGGAACAGGGGTACTCGGCCCAGGAGTGTTTGTGGGATCATTCAGGTCTAGAAAAAGAGTAAGGGGGCAGGACAAAGCCATTTGTGAGAGGAGAGAGGTGTAAGAGAAAGGAATCGCAGAAAAATGGTAGAGAATGGACTGAGTTCTATCTCTCTAAGTCTCTCTATTCTGTCTCTCTCACAAAGGAAGAGTAGAAGAAGGAGGAAGAAAAGAAGAAGATAGAGACAGAAGAAGAAAAGATGAAGAAGGAAGAAAAG